TCTCTCTATCAGATGGATATCCCAAATGCACATGTTGTCGGAGACTTGTAGGAAATGATATACTATCATTGTTCTATCTGCAACTTCAATCTTAACTTGGATTGCTTTCTCCAACGACCAGATGTTAATATCTTGCACTTTAAAAGTCACAAGCACCCCTTCAACCTCTTTCCGATACGACTCTCTTCGCCATGTCATGCTTGTGGCTTGTCTCTAGACGACACCAAAGATCTTGTCTCCCTTGCAGTCACATGATACACAAATCTGAGCATCTATTTACCTTCATCGTCTCTCTTTCACTAACTCCCTTACTATCGGTGATTTTTTTTTGTGGAGTTTGTCGCAAAAGGGTTGACTGCAACTACGGACGATACTCTTGTCATTATGATATCCATTCGAAATGTGCAACCAGAAAAGATGTGTGGGATGGAAACGATCTTGAAGGAGTGCCTGAAGACCTGTTTGAGAGGATTGATGATGAGACAATTCAACATTTTATTTCATCATAAGCATTATCTGAAGCTCCAAGAAAAGAAAGACATCATCAATGAGAAAGCCAAGTTCTGTGAGGCARGCACCCTTCCAATAAGAATCTCTCAAAGATTTTACAGTTGTATGCAGTGTGATTTTGTTCTCGGTGAAGCATGTGCATCCCTTCCTCGCAAAAAATACCCGCTTACCCTCAACACCTACAATATTGGTGGTCTCAAGAATATTGAGCAAGGCATGTTCAGATGTGATGGGTTGCAACCGATTAGGTTGTGGTCTTCTGTACAAATGCGATGAAGAAGATTGTGAATTTCAACTAGACGTAAGGTGCGCTGCCCTTCCCGATCCACAAGATCATCCTCTCTTCTTCAACTTGACGGAAGGTAATTGTATGGGGTGTGGTGTGGTGATGATAACTGAACAATTAGATTCAAAGAAATGGTTTTACACTTGTAGGATCACTCTTCATGTCAGATGTTTACTGAGGAAAGATATCTACATGAAGCCTAACCACATTATGAAATTATGTGGTTATCAAGTCGAAATCGCTCTCAACGATGGTAACTCTCGGCTCGAATGCTGTGAATGTCATCTTCGTTGCCAAGGGGTTTTTGTATTCAAGATGATACATATACATATAACTTGTTGTACTCTTACTTGTGTGGAAACTTATGCGGTGATGAGTTCCTTCTTAGCTAGAAGGTGACGAAGAAAAAGACTTTAATTTCGTGTATTTTCATATTTGTTGAGAATTTTATCCCAAGTTTTTGCTTTTATATTCAAGCAAGTTACAACATTTTATCAATAAAAGCAATCCACATGATAACATAAGAATGCATGCTTGTGAGTCTTGTAAGACTCAAGCTGAAAACTACATTAAAGGAGTTTATTAAAGAAAAACAGAGACTTGGAAGTCTTATTACATGTAGTTAGCAGTGAAATAAAGTTCATCATAAACTCGATTTGGGTATTGCTCATTGAAACAAACATAAAACATGAAACACAGACACTTGGAAGACATTTTAGAACAAAAAAGAAAAGAGATTTTTTTTTATGGCATCTCCATTCTGTCTGTATTTACAATTTCTGGTTTTTTTAATCTGAATCAAACCAATTTCTTGTCCAAGGAAAATAACCTCAACAAGCGCTTGCCACCACTGACATCTCTAGCTCATGGCAATCCAAACGTAGACATGGTTTTCTTGCTTTTGATTCGTATAGGCTCTGCAAGTATCAAAACATCGTAATCAGGTCATTGATCGATCTTAAGGTATGAGAAAACACAAAATAGAGATACAAGAAACTTCGGAGACTTACACACTATTATTGCTGAATCTTCCTGAATTCTGTAAGAACTGGGTAGATATTCTCAAAGGCGAGGTAAGTCTCTTCTCTCATCTGATAAGTGTAATCTCACGATATCATCAGATCACAGGAAATGACGAAAATTTGTAATCGTTTGAGAGAAAGTAATAAATTATATTACCTTGGCTCCGGTTATAACAATCTTTCCTGACACAAAAATAAGCAGTACAATCTTTGGTTGTTTCATCCTATATATCAGTCCTGGGAATAGCTCAGGCTCGTACTGGCATCAATAACGAGATAGGTGCGAATGAATCATCAGACCAATTATCTCCATCTTACAGCTATATATATGATCACAATGCTTGAGATCACTTACACTTGAGAAAGCACTGTGAGAGTATGCAAGACCTTCAAGCCTAATTGGGAACTTGACATCACAGGAGCCAACAATGTTCTGAATCTTGAAATCCTACAAAATGTAATCATGAATTTCAGTACTAGGCATAAACGAATTGAAATAAAACTGAATAGTACAGTGACTGTTGGATCAGAGATTGACATATGAGCAGTACCTTAAACTTTGCAGGAAAGCCGAGCTTTTGAACAATCCGAGCGTACTGAACAACAAAAAGGTATTCATTAGCATAACAGAGAACAAACACTTACAATGTTTGTGGCTTAAGTGTTCCAAGAAGAAGAAACTAAGAACGTATTACGAGGAGCTAGTTACCTTTCTTGCAGCTAGCTTTGAAAGATGTTCACTCTTAGCTCCAGTACACACCTAAAAATTGGACAGAAGATGCCGTGTTAAAACAAGAACATGGTAGATCGYTCCATATGAGCAATAGTAACCAAACATATCACAAGCATATATAACATACCATTTTCCCAGATGCAAAAATCAACGCAGTGGTCTTCGGCTCTCTTATCCTCATGATTACAGCAGCGAAACGCTGGAAAATGAAACACGGCAGATTAAACCAAATCCGAGAATACATACAGAAGTGGTATATAAGTTACTATAACCAATCAGATTCATAAACACCTCATAGCCCTTAACAAAAGTGTAAATATTTCATATATCAATACAAGACTGAAGATACACGCTACAACAAACCTTTGGGTTATACTCAGCATTGCGAGCTTGCAAAGCAATAGCTTTGAGGTCAAGCTTACAATCTAAATTCACCGTTGAAACAATGTTCCTGAAACAAACAAAATCCTGTCATTCACAAAACACAAACTCGTAATCTAAAAAGCTACAAAAGAGACACAAAACGAAACTCACTGTAGTGTTGGAACAATCCCTGAAGGATGCTTACTAAGGTCAACTGGTTGGTTCCCTTCCAATCCTTGTTCAGCCATTCTCTAACACATAAAGACAAATCATAGAACACAAAAATCAGCTAAAATCGTAAATACCCATCAAGCTAATTCTCGATTCAGACAATAACAACAAGTGAATTCATCGACCAGATCAGGTTATCTCAAAAAGGGTTTCAATAATTGAATTCAAGAACCGTTTTTTTCACAATCAAAGCTTAGATCCCAATACGAAAAACGTAAGTTTGATAGATACAAAGAAACCCAAACCAAATCCGATGAATAGAACACAAAATAAACAGAGGGTAGGAATCAAAACCTAACCTTTCGCTAGAGTTTATGACAATCTGAGATTTTCAAAACTAGGGTTTCGGAATGGGAAGGGGAAATTCAACGGAAGGTGAATGAATTCAAAGAAAGGAGAAAGCTTTTATATATACGAAGAAGAGAAATTTTTAGAGAGGGAAATAGATTTGTAAATTGGGATTTATATAAAGGAGAGTGAATTTCAATA